ATTATAAACCTACCAAGACTTAGTAGGTTTCTCCAACACATATGTTTACAGATCAGACAAGCAGAGAAATAATCAGAGAAATAGCAAAGAAGTTCCTAGTAACTCCTGAGGAGCTGCAGAGATCAACAACTTAGGTGGGAGAATCTGTCAACAGATGTGGACAGCGGTCGCGTTGAAAGCCACAGGATGCCACAAGCCACTCCATGGGACACAGCAAAACCATGGACAAAACTCATCTGGACCAAAATTTTAACTTTTCTTCAGTAGAAATAAAGGAGGCTGGTCAGGGTCGACAGGAAGAAGACTTGAGACTGGGGGTGGAGGTCCACCGTCCGGCCACGGCTACATTAGGGTGGATCAAAGCATATTTGTTTGTTAGAGTGGACCGATGATGCATCTGTGGTGAGACTTAAAAAGGTTCTTTCCATATGCTTTCCATCCAATCTAACCGAGCTTGAGCTTTTTCGGAAAGAACAATGGGCAAAAATGTCAAAGCTGGTAGAGAGTGACACATACAGTACCTCAAAAGACCTGCGGTTGCAGTTGCAGTGATAGCTGGTTCTGTGTTGTATTGGCTAGATCTGATTGTGTGACTTTTATTTGTACGACGTGGTGAAAACCTCCCCCTGGTGAACTACTTTGTGCAGCTCTGTGAGGTAAAGTGACAAAACAAACCTTCAAAGGATGTGAATACTTTGCCTTAAACTCTTATTCACAGATAAATAACTGGCGCTCCATCATATTAAGTACTGGGAGTGAGAACTGAACCTCTCGGCTCTAAAGTGAGCCTTTTCCAGAACCCTCCACATAATCTTTTTTTATGTCCTTTTTTTGTACAGGTTTCTGGTAATATCTTAACTCTAAGGGAGGACTCACTCCCACAGATTTGTTTTTTTTCCACCATTCCCATCAGGGTAGACATTTTTAAAGAAAACATCTTCCACATCCTGCCTGTTGATTTTGCCGTTAGACTCTCCACTGCACATCGGAGGGTTAATGAGTTGCTCTCACGGACAACAGCAGATCTTTTTCTGGCAGCGAACCGTCCCAACATCTTCCGACCCCTGCGGTAAACTCTGTAGACTGGAAGCTCCTCTCGGCGACAAGGAGGGCTTTCAGCTCAGAAACCTGCAGCGTTTCTCGGAGGACCACACCGCAGCGGCGGTCGGCCATCCTCCGTCTGTCGGCCAGCGATCGGAGGTGGTGAGTGTGGTCCTTTCAGGGGAGCCAAGGATGTCACCTCCACTGTTCCAGGGTCTGGGCTGTGTAGGGGGCTTGGTTTTCGCGGGCTACCCGTGCATTTCCATGCCGTTTAAAATGCAAAGGCTCGGCCTGTGTGCTGGGCGAAGTTAGTGGAAAAATGGACCGACAGCTCCAGAAGTTATGGAGCAAGCCACACAGCGGCCCCATCGCTGACGGAGCACCAAAGTAGACCCATTCCTAATTACAAGGAGAGATTTAAAGGTAGTGTATGTAACTTTTATATAAAAACATATATATATATATTAAGTTTTTTTTGTCAAATTTGCTAAAACTATCGCTATGTTGTGACTGTAATATGAGACAGATAATCTGTGGAAGAAAATTGAGCTCCTCTGACTTCTCCACATGGTCCTGCAATTATCTACAAAAATACATAGTTCCATCGTTAACAACCAATCAGAGCCAGGGGGAAGGGTCCTCGCACTGTCAATAATTTCGTGTATGCTCACAACCTCCACCTTGCTCTCTGCTATGCTACAGCTAGCGGTGCTACTTAGCATGGCTACGATGATGGCGGATAAATGCTTTTCCTGGAACTACGGCCATTAGCAGTAGTAGCACTCGAAGAAGGTGGAGGAGCTCGGTCTTTTCACAGATTATCTATGTCAAAACTGCAGTACGTAAAGTTTTGGAAAAAGTTACGTACTGCAGCTTTAAAGATCAGGTTGCTTAGGTCTGCATCTAGCAAGTCACATCTTCTTGTGCCTACAGATTATCTAGAATGCCAGAGAGCAGAAGATATTTTCCTATCTTTTTTGGAGTATGCTAACACCTTATGAAACCAGTTCATATGCTTTCATCGCTATTATATCCAAATTATTCAAAAACCTGATATTTACAGAGTTGAAACTTTAAGTTCTCTCTGAGGAAATGGATGTTAACTTCTAGTGTTGATCTTGAAGTTATTCACAACCATGACTTTGTGTTTGTTGAAGCACTTCTGGCAACAGTGACAGCCACTAGTCGTACTAGATGTAACTCTACAAGCTTGGCACACACAGAGGATAGTGGATGGCCAGTGTCGGTAGACAGCTACTTGTTGGTTTTTATAAAAATGTTCATTTGGATTCAAGACCTCTTGTCTCTTTGCTGATTATGTATTTTGGTCTGGCAGGCAGATCTAGGTCAAAAGCTTGTGGCTCTAAGCATCTACCGTTTCCAAACGACTGAGACCAAAAGGCTTCTGGGGACGGTCTCTGCTGCCAAAAGTGGGATACCATTTCTCAAATGACAATCTAGTCTTGATGCACTGTAGACAATTCATTTGATTTTATTGCTTAGCTTCAACTCTGAAGTGTGCTGTTGACCATGAGACCCTATAGGACTCAGAATCCATTCCAAATCACGTTCAGTCGGCTGAATTCACCACAGGTAGACTCCTTTCAAACTGGAGGAACGGCTTAAGACATTCTTGGAGGAAAATTTGACCTCACTCTAATTCTTGGCCAGAGTTGTTAGTAAGCACACATGGACTGCTTAAGATACTGCTATATTGGCATACAGCCAACATAGCAGTATCTAATTTGTTCTTCCTTTGGACAAATTATTTACGAGATGCTACAAAGAGGAACCTTGTTGATGGAAAAGACTATCCACCAGTCTTCTGCTGTCCGTTATTGTATTTTCTGAAGACTTCTTTCCTGCACCCTCTCCTTCAAAAGGTTCTTCCCCAAGAGTATTTGACTCACTTTGTGTGCAGATTGACTCATACCCACCTGGACCCAGTTTTGATCCAGCTCTAGGGCTTAGAGGCAGCACAAACCTGTACCTCACTGTTCAGTAGGATATCATTCCAGCTGGATATTTCACCACTTTTCTCATTAAAAACATTTGGTTTCTGGGATGTATGGTTTTTTTAAATAAAAAATATATATATATATATATATATATATGGTTTAAAATTTTCAGTAGGGTTTAGGTCAGACCCAATCAAGTTACTTAATGTTGATTTTTGAAGGAGGAGATTCTTTCCTTACTAACTCCCTTTTTGTTACTAACTCCCTTTTTGTCCATGGTAATGTAATATTTCTGTGAGACTGTGAGAGTAGTTCTTCCAGTGGCTTCTAGTCTGTATTTGGATGGAAACTTGGTGCTGCTTGGGTTGTTCTTGAAAATCCTAACCAATTTCCTTGAGAGTGACATTTTGGGTCGGCTGGTTGAGACGTGGACTTAACTCCCAACTGGATGACATTGAGCACTTTTGGTGAACTTACATTCGGCTTCCTGAATGGCTTTCCCAAAGCTTGCAGACATATAACAAAAATGTATACGCACATTTAAAATGAGATGTAGTATTGCATCATTTTACATTTATGTTCAATAAATTGCAGTCTACGTTCCAATGAGACTTGGAATGACTTTTACATCCTACAGCAGGCTCCTTGAACTAGCCTTAGTCAACGCCCCTGACTTGCTTAGATAAGTAGCCGTGGCTACCTAGCTTAGATACATGTCAGAACTAGATAGCCACAGCTAATGGCTACTTAAAAACTAGCTGTGGTAGCTGTGGCTACTTAGCCATAGCTACTTAGCTAATGTATTGTAACTGCAAACCCCTTGGGTTTTGCAGAAACAATACAGTAGGGTTTAGGCCGAACTGTCACACGCGAAGCCATTAGCTAACCATCCAGGATAGCTAAAGCCTAAGTAGTCATTAGCTAAGTGTAGCCAGTAGTGGCTACTTAACTACTAGTGGCTACTTGGCCAGCTCGTGGCGAAGTAGCCACTACACCCACTAACACAATAAACGTTGCATTAGTTTTTTTACTAAGCTAAGTAGCCACTATTTTACTCTTTTGGTTGGAGATGAGTTCTGAGAGTTGTTTATGCTTTTACATCCTGCAGCAGGCTAGTTGATATTTGGTTTGGATGAAGACCGAATAATAGTTTTTCTCGCCGCCATGAAGAGGAACACTATGTGTGTGTGCGAACTGAAAACATGCCATGTGCTGAGAGCAGAGGCCAACCAGGAGTGATTGTATTTCGTGTCTGCTTCTTGTATGAAGTTGTTTTTCAGAGGAGAGTGAGTCACCGCTCTCAGCTTTTATTGTGCTTCAGTTTTAGGAAAATGATGCAGCTTCTAATAGTGCTTGCGTTTTTCCATAAACATGCATGGGTGACCAAATGAATGTGACTAGAGTTCTTATAGAGTGTTTTGTTGCTTTGTTAAGAGGCTTACATCGCTGGGTGTGAGATCTCTTGTGGTCGGTGTTTAGGTCTATTTGCAGATATGCTTGCCTTTAATGTGTTTTCTGCAGTTTTGCTGTTCAACATGGACTCGATGTTTTATCTTTTCCATCTGCTGACGTGATTTCCCCCCTGAAAGGCTTCCAACTGATCGCTGCATGGTGGCTTAATCCATGCGAGATCTCTTCACCAAAAGATAAAGAGATCCTCCACTGAGTGGAAAGAATGTATTAAAAGGCAGGATTGAGGGGTGGCATGTAGGCTACTGTGAAGAAAAAAAACAAACATGGAAATTTGGACCGATTCCATTCCCATCCATCTCCCTCCCTCACATCTTCCTCCTCTCTCTTCCTCCCTCCATCCCGTCTGGGATTTTTTGTTTTTTTTTGTTTTTCAGAAATGTGTTTCTCGTCGTCTGTCCCAGTGCTTAAAACTCTCAATTTGCCTGGTAGGCATATTTTTCCATCTCCAAAACCACGCAAAGCAAGACTTAATTCCACCATTTTTTCTCCTCCCCCCTCCAACCCCCCTCCCTCTCAACAATGCTTGCCTTTCCCAGAGTCATACTGAACTTTAATCAAAGTCCAAACGAGAAAAACACACAAGAACAATTTCCATATGAGCGCGCACACTCTGAGAATGATTGTCCTATTTACAGCAGGAGGAAACGGCTCCTGTTATTCTACAGGATCGTTTCCTGCTCTCAAAGGACTCCTGGCCCTCTTCACTGTTATGATAACTTAATTGTAAGCATAAATTATACGTTCTGGTCACCTGCACTCGGACAAAGTATTTTAGCATGCAGTAGAAAGGTTGCTTTAGGGGTAGGGGTTTCAATTAAAAACATTGTGCAATTAAAATGTGCTGCTTCAGGAAAAGTGTGTGTAGTTTGCCTGTGCCTGTTTCAACACAGTGTGTTTTCCAGCTCTTTGTACCTAAAGCTAAGTAAAAGCGGAAACTCTTGTTAGCACCAGATGTTTATCTTGGTGAGGTAGGTGAAGTTGCATTTGGATCATGTGACGTTAGTACCAGTAAAGCTATAGATTTGAATACTCTCTGAAATATTGTTTACCTTTTAACATGCAGGGCCTTGAAAGATTATTTATACTCTTTCAACTTTTTCACATTTTGTCAAGCAACAACCACAAACTATATATTTTACATGGTTTCCATGTTTTTTTTTTTAAACTAATAAATATGTAGCCATTCTTTTTTTTTTACAAAGAGCTCCAACTCAGTCCAATTAGATGGTGGTACAGTTGGTAGCATTAGCTGCGTTTCCATTACAATATTCCTCTGATGTTGGAGAACACAATTTCGCAACTGTGGCCTTTTCATGGGATAAGAAGAGCGATTGAAATCACATGTGAATATTTCACGGGATAAGTCATTATGAAACATGCTGCACCATCATCCTCCAAAAACTTCCTGTTGTCTTCTTAGTACTTTCCGCCAGTAGTGACATCCGGTCGTTGATCACACGACGCAGTTTTGCGAAATACACTTATTTCGATACGGCTTAAAAACCACCTCATCCTAGCGCAAAAAACTTTTTAACGAAAAACTTGGGTCTTTTCAAAATTCTCATATGGATTTTCGTAACTACAATTTGCGCGATTTGCCTTGAGGCTGTTGCCTTGAAGATAGAAAGACTTGGGTTCAAATCCCAGTCTTGGGTTTTTCTGCACAGAGTTCTGTTTGTGTATCCCAGAATCCAACTGCTTCCTCCTATAGTCCAGAAATATGACTGTTGGGCCAATTCCCTGTAACTTATTAAATAAATTGGCATCTTGTCTTAGGTGTACCAAGCCTCTCGCCCAATGACCCAATGGAGGACGTGTTTTAAAGTAAATTTTTCGTGTTTTCCTAATTGGTCTGGACTTTGGGACATTCTAACGCATTCCATTGTAGCTCTGGCTACCAAATTAGTGATGTTCTACCAGAAGATGGACGATACATCAATAAAATTTGCATTGGTTTGCCACGGGTCAAAAACTATTCCACATCTGAATTTTATGTATAGATGTCAGAGTAAAAGGCGGCTCAAAACAAATGGTTGCTACATTTTTCAGTTTTTAATTTGTGAATAATACGAAAACCATGTATTCTTTTCCTACGATACAACTATTAGATGCACTACTTTGGTTTATTAAAACAAACATGTCGAAGTTTGTGGTTGTGGCATCACACAAAATGCTTAAAAGTTCAAGAACTCCTAACTTTTTGCTACTTTACAAAGTTATGTGTGATACAGATTCGTGTCTCCTAAATCCCCATATGTGCAGAGTTTTGCGTCTGTTCCCGCAAACCGATGCTCTGCCTCTTTTCCGTCGGCTGAGTTTGTCCGTCCGCGATTGACCTCTCGCTGCAGATGTACTGTATAGCGCAGCAACTTAAAGAGTGAGTCTTGAATGTGACGACCCAGCACCCTCAGTCTATGGGCCGGATCAGCATGCGGACAGACTTCATGGAGTAGAAACCTCCGCCGTAGTCAGCCCAGAAGATGCCGTCCTGGAATTTGCTGCGGTACACTCCTCCGGTGTACCAGACACCGTTGAGGTTGGCTTGGCCACAGGCGTTGTACCACCAGCCTCCTTTATGGAAATGGGCACAGTTACCTGTTGTGGGTTAAAGGGAAACAGGAGGAAGAAAAAGTTCATGGGCAAGTGATTTTTGTTGATAGAATGTTTCACAGAAAGTCAACAGAAAAACTAAGTTTTTTTTAAAGAAGATGAGATGTCAAAACCCCAACGTTGCACTCCTTCACTAATTCAACCTCTATTTGTGGAGCTTATGGGGATCACAGTGTTGACTGAGGTCAAGCATGACTGAGTCCCAAAGAGTCAAATACAATTTGGAAAAAAGCCATAAAGAGCTTATTTACTTTACACCGACAGCAAATAATCTCCTTGTCACGTCGAGCGCTTTGGCATGCATTCAGGGCTGAATGAAAACTCGCCAAAGGGTCATGGATCTGAGTGAGAGCTCATTGTTTGTTTTCTAAAGGAAGTGAAGGCTTCGCTGATGGCTTCCTGGGATTCCAGGCGAGCGAGGGCCCCGAACCACTACGTTCAGGGTATGTGTAGAAAAACAGGAGCAGAACTTCAATGTTTCTCCACTGTTTTCCACAATAAACAATGCTACCCTCCATGTTAGGGTGCTGAAATATAAATTACAACTGAGTACAGTCATTTACAAAGCGTTTGTGATCAGTACGATTACAAGTTGATTTGATTTATTTTTTTGATGTGAATAGTTTTCTAGAATTTGTGCTTTGTGGACTTTTTGGAGTGTTTTTGTTCATTTTCAGTATATATTTTAAATGCTTCCAGCAATGACCTGCCTGCGGATGATAAGTTTAATGAAGCTGATCCGAATGTGATGGAGATATCTGGTTTCATAAATATTGATCGCTGAGATCAAAGTAAGAATGCGTTGTCGACGATGTCCTCCTCCGTGGAGAATTATTTGAATTATTTGTGTGTAGAGTTTGTAAAAGGTACGTTAAGCGTAATTTACAAGAATCAGTAGTAATAGCTTTAATTTGTTTATAAAGCAAAACTTGTGGGTAGGCAAAATAAAACTTCTTAGCACAGAAAAAAAAACACCCATGGAGTCCTTTTTATCAGTTTCCATTTTTCTGACTTTGTATGCTTGGTGAGTCATAAAATTTTGGTTTATAATCCAGACTTCAAAATCAAACTAATTAAAACAAAGACTTCACCAAGCTTGCAAAATATGTTTTCATCCCAACATGTTTCAACTTAAGTCGTTAAAAGTCTTAGGAATTCAAAAACATGCCATGGCTGTCTTGGGAGGACCTAAAAAAAACTTTAAAAAAAAAAACTAGTGTTTTGGTCATTTATGTAGAAAATTCATAGGTTCTATCATTTCAGTTTTTTTAGGCAGTTAGAATTATTTAAGTTAGTTTGGAACCAATATCTGTAATAAATGTCTGTATTTGGAATTGATTACTTTGATAACTTTTAGACCCTCCCACTAATTTAAGAGAAGAGCATTAAAAACTGCTTGCCGACAATGACTACCATTGGTTTTAGCTGTCCAGTTGGCAGCATAACATGCTAAATCTTAAAGTTTCACTTCATATGGAGAAGAAAAAAGGATGTAGTGCTTTGCTACTAATTAGGTGTATCATTTTACAGGTCAGTGAAAAGTTTTAAAAAGGGAGGGAGAGCTATGCTAGCTTGACTTTAACAACCTGCAGCACATCATGTAGATGTGCTGCAGAATTTGGTGTGTTTTGGTTCAGTTAAAAATAGTAAAGCAAGCCACACACCAGCTCTCTGACAGATCATCAGCAGAGCAGCTGTTTAAATTAGCTAATCAACCGCCGCTGTGTTCAGACGATAACTTATTAATAATCACAAAATAAAACATCAGGCCTGAAAACATAAAACTGTAATGGACTGAATGTCCTGCTCTTTGTGTTTGAAATGCTTACATGTTTTTTGGTGTTGAATTCTCATACGCTCGTGGAGCGGTTGTCAGTCAGTTGCTATGCCAGCGAATCTGTGTGTAGCGTAGCTACAGACACGGAAAGCGAGTAAAAAGAAGCCCAAGTGGTTTTGAGTTGTTCTTCAACAGTTTTCCTGCCTTATTTCTCCTTTTGCTGTGACGCAGCGCACAAAATTAATAACACCCACATCTTCATTTAGTTAACAGAGCTGTTCTACAGCGCAGCTACGGAGGGCAAGTCAAAGAATCGTCTTTGACGAGATGTAAACAGTAAAATGCAACGCTTCTCTAAAGAAGACATCCCAGTATGACAGACCTGAGAAGGCGTCCTTGTCTCGATCCAGAGTGGTGAACTGTTTGCCGTTGTGGCTGCTGAGGGAGTCCCCTGCGTTGCCCTGGTAGGTGCCCAGCCGCAGGCGGTAGCCCTCGCTCTCGGGCTCCAGGTGGAAGCTGTTGTACTGCGCGTACACCTTCTTGTCCATCCAGTCCTCCATCTCCACCATGAGCTTGTAGTCGCCCTGCCTCCCCAGCTTGTAGATAGCCTCCAGGCCGAGCCAGTACTCCCCGTCTATGTTGCCAAAGCCGCTCTAGATCAAAGGAAGATTACAGGGAAGGTTACAATGAGATCACAGGAAATAACGCGTGTTGTGTATTCCTCCGGGTCCCCAAGGAGTTTGGAAACGCGGTGATTATCTGGGAACATAAAACCTCTTGTGGAAGAGTTTGTGGGGTTGAAAAACAAATTAGAAATTTCAATTCGACGGTGTTTTGGTTGTGCTTCTGTAATTCAGGAGAACTTCAAAGAGCAAAAAAACACATGGTGACAAATGATTACCACCTTAACCTATGAAATTTAGAAGAAAGCAATGCTGAAGAGTTTATGCGATAAAATAAACGCCTGTATTCAGAATTCTGATACTGGGTCATGAAGCCAAGCGGTCTTGAACGTAGGTTATAAAACATACCCCAAGCTTTTTGGAACGTCGAACTACTAAATCCATTATCCAGATTACGTGTCAGAAAGGCCCAGTCAAAGCCCAAATTCAATTGAGAATCTGGGACAAAACTTAAAATTGTTATTTATAAATGGACTATTTCTAATTTAACTGAGCTTGAACTGTTTTGTAAAGAATGGGTACACTGCAAAAACACGAAATCTTAAGGTATTTTTTGAAAAGTTTTTAGTGTAAATATCTTAGTACACTGAAAAATAGACAAAACCAACTTTACCAGTAACTTCTCATCAAGATATACGATCTTATTTTAGTAAATAATTCCTTAAGATTAATAAAAAATAACAAGTTCCACTGTCAGATTATTTCATGTANAACANGGGACAAACGTCTTGTTAAAAGTGAAATAATCTGCCTTTGAAGTTGGTATTTTTCCATTAAGGAATTATTGACTCAAAGCAACTTCCAATAGCTTGCTTATTTCAGGTGTACCAAGATATTTGCACTAGAAACTAGACCAAAAATACTTGGTAAGATTTTGTGTTTCTGCAGTGCAAAACATTAATTGTGGAGAAATGGAAATCTACTAGAGACATCAATTTTATTTATTTTTTTATAAAATTGATCCTTCAACTTCATAATCATCCATAACTTTATATAGATAGGTTTATCTCTTTTTTATGTCCATCACATTCAATTTCCATTAAATCTTGTTAACCTTTGTGGTAGTAATGTGGCAAAAATGTGAGAAAGTTCAAAAACACCAACGCCCTGCACCAGTCTCAAAAACACTCCACTTGGAAAAAAAAGTTGAGGTTTATGAATGTGGACGAATTGTGAGCCAGCAGATGATGAATGAAATAGGATTTCAGCCTGGTTCAGTGTGTGTGCGTGTGTGTGTGTGAGATGGTTACGGTTTTGGTCTTGTGGTAGAGTGCAGAGACAATTCAGTGTTGAGGAGAGCAATTTAGCTGCCAGTTACCAGCGCATGATGCTGGCCAGACTGAGTGGAACGCTGGATTGTTGCAGCTGTCAGCAGCGGTGTTCTCATTCTCACAGAGCCTCTATATGCTCACTGCTGGGCCACGCAGTGGGAAGGCTCTATAGCAGAAGTGGTTTTGGAAAGACGTGGAACATACTTTTCTCATTGGGACGGCTACAGTTTCATGATGGGAATCTCAAAACATTGTGTTTTATGGTAACAGAAGGACTTTAAACTTCAAGGTAATTATCTCAAAGACCCCACGGCTCCCTTGGAAAGGTCAAATAACAGCATCGCTGTTACTTTTGAAAGAGTTGGGAGGAAGTGCCGCTGTCATCACCTTGTAGCTATCCCAGTTCCTGAAGAAGTTCACTGATCCATCTCTCCGGCGCTGGATAACCGTCCAACCTCCGTTGTCTATATCCTGTTCACACCAGGCTTGCACCGGCCTCTCCGCCTCATCTGGTTTGATCAGATACATGCCGCTGGTGCTGTGGCCAGCCTCCTGGGCCTCCTGGCAGTCTCTGAACGGGCCTGAAGGAAAATGATGATAAGAGAGAGGGGGAGGAGGCGGTGAAGGACAGGATCCAGCTGGAAAATGGAAAACGAGACTAACAATCTGACAGTGAACCGAAGAATCATTGGTCTTGTCCAGTAACTTTGTAAATGTTTACATAAAGTCAAAGAGAAAGACGAAGAGTTTGAAACCTACTTTAAAAAATTGTGCATCTAAGGGAATATAGGCTTACTAGCCTGCTTTAGCCAGTAAGCCTAGCTACAGCAGCTATAGTGAATTGTACAGATTTAGCCTAGCTTACTAGCCTAGCTATTTTAGCTACAGCTAGCTGTATAGAACTATGAGGTTCTATGACACAGAACCTCAGCTTTAGCTACTAAGCCTAGCTAAAACAGGCTAACGTAAAACAGAATCAAAGCAGCTGTTTCCTTCATTCTATTACATTTTAAAACATTAAGTAATTTATAGTGAGGCTTTAACAAACATTTTCTATGCCAGAGAGAAAAAATTCATCTTAAAAAGTGAAATATTTGACAGTTTATTGTTAGCCTCATAACAATTCCCCTACTAGCTTAACTTGGCTAAAGTGTCGCACCACTTTAGTGTGATTTTTTTATGTCTCTCTTGTAACTTGAAGTATTTTATTTCAAACTCTGTGTCTGATATATACAAGTTTGTGAATAAACTCTACTCGAGTGAGTATCAGGTTTTTTCTCTCACATTGCCCAAGTAAAGCTCACTCCAAATAAAGGAAAGTGTTAGCATGCTAGCAAAACATTTTCTTACGATGCCGTTTGGGTTTGATGATCCTGAATGCATTGAATATTTACATAGACGATCTAAAAATACCCATAACTTTTCTTTTCTCATGGGTCAAATGTTTATTTCCCTCCAAATGTACCAATGTGTTTGATGGACAAACATACAATTTAGTTCTAAATGTAACAGACATGTTGTCCATATGAATGGCAGTAAGGCCTTTTGATTACAATGGTCATAGGAGACCTAGTACTTCAAGATATCCCAGAAAGGCCTCCAGTGTTGGTGAGCGAAACAAAAAAAGTACACTTTGACAACATTGCTAGACAACTCTAAGCATTACACATTTTACAGTTTTTCTTCTTCTTCTTTAGCATCAATAACATTACACACCCCCTCAAACCTCAACCATACCCAAAAATCCATGGAAAATCTGGCACCTCTGAAATGAAGTGTATGAACACATGTGAAATGAGCTATTGTGGATTGTACTGTAAAGTTGTTTGAGTTTTCAGCAAGAACACTCAAAGCAGTCTATTTACCATTTATATGTGGCTGCTGCAGATCTACAAAGTTATACTTGTTTATGATTTCCTCTAAGGACAGACCAATTAAGTCTCACTAATGAGATATGACTTTTTTCCCCCGCTATGACGACAAACGGCTACAAATAGATTTATACAGCTGTGTGTTGCGAGTTTGTTCGAGGGGTAAGCGACTCCTATGTAATTATTTATTTAAACTACTGTTAAGCTTTACGGCCTCTTGCTTATGCTGAACATGCCTCTGTTTTTGTGGTAACCACCCGAGACTCTCATCATGCCCGCCTGGCTTTTGTCTGAGACTCACGCAATGGAACAGTCTCGCAAACGGATCATTTGCCAACATAGCTGTCCTGAAATCCTTCACACTTTATTATTCTTGGGAAAAGCAATGTGAGCATGTCAAAAACCTTCTGTCAATGAGCAAAATCCAGCTGGTCGAGCCCGTCTTTCCCTTGGTAAAGCTTTCCTTAGTCGACTCGGATTGTACAACATTTGTGTTTCCATTCTGGTCTGTGAGTTTTCTGTTGAGCATGAAGCAGAGTTCCAGCTGATTTTGCACATTTTTAACCTTTTGAAATGAGGCCGCCGGTCCATCTACAGCTGCAGCCTTAGCGCATGATGTTGTTATTCTTGGCTTGTCAAAGTAATGACTATTGTACATTTCACCATGACAGGACTGTCTTGGATCTACAATGGCTATTGAAGATAGAAAAGGAAAAACAAGGCGTAAATTTTCACCAAAAAATTCTGGAATTTTCTTGAAAAAAAGTAAATTACTGAGCTCCAAAAATCAATATTTGCTAGAGAAAACATGGAAATTTATGAGTTTCAAAAGTCACATCTTTTTTAAAACTCAAAGAATTTCAAAAAAGTGAAAAATGATTGACTCATGAAACTCAGAAATTGCCTTGGTTTTTCTAGAAATTACTGAGATTAACCTCAAAATTTCAGATTTTTTTCTGGCAAATTTTTGACTTTTCAAACTAAAAAAATTTCATGTTTGTTTCTAGAAAATGTTTTAAATGAATCTCAAAATTTCCTAATCTTTTTTCTAGCAAAATATTGACATTTCAATCTCTGAAATTTTCTAGAGCATTTCCAAGATTAATCTCCAATTTTCTGAGTTTTTGGTGGAAATGTACTCTTCCTTTTTTTTCTGTCTTTCTACAATGGCCCCACTACATTGTCATATGGATCTGACATTGCAACAGAATCTAGGAATGAAAAAGAAGGAACGGACAATCGCCCACTCACCCTCTGTGCTGAAGTTTCTCTCAGACTTCGGGACCTCGGGCGTACTGCTCGTGGGGGTTGACCCGGAGCGAGAATCCCTATCCGGGCCAAACCCTCTGGTGTTTCGACTCTGGATTTCATTGGTGAACCGTGGCACACTGACCGGAATGTTCTCAGGTACCACCTGCACTAGCGGGGGTCCTATAGGTGGCTGTTCGTGGCGCCGACTGTGCATCTGCATGCAGTGCTCCTCTAACGTTCCGATCAGCACCGACTGATTGTTCACGATTGCAGACAGCGCCGCGTATTTGGCCTCCAGCTCCTTGTACCTGGACGTCAACCGCAGTGACTCAGAGGTGGCGTTAAGGATGCGCGTCTCCAGCTGAGCCAGCTCCAGTGAGTTATCCCTCTTCCTTATGATCTCATGCAGCAGCTGCATGTAAAGCTGAGTCACTCTGGAGTTCATGTTTCTGCTCTCCTTCCTCAGCAGCTTCATCTCATTCACCAGGTTACCATCCACATCCACCACGAGCTTCAGAGTCTCCATCTCTCGACGCTGTTTGGACAGAAGGTCGCGCACCGCCGCGACATCCAGGCGTGTCACTCGGTCTTTGTCGGTGGAGTAGCCCCGGGTGGCGCAGATAGGGCCCGTAATCTTTTGCTCCGGGACCAAGAAGGTGTAGGAGCACTTCTTGTTTTCTTCGGCAGCCCCCGGAGCTCTTCGTATCCTCGACAGAATGGGGTTCCTCGCCAGGGCTTGACCGTTGTTCCAGAGAGACAAGCCCAGCAGGAGGGAAAGGCTCCACACCTCAAGTCCCATGGTTGCTCCTCTTGCTATAGCCAAACAACCCAAAGATCTATAAAATCACCAAAAAAAGAAATCATGAAACAATAAAATCTGTGTTTTGTGCATTTCAGCAAACACCCCTACACCAACAACAGGTGTCTATCTTCAACTTTACAGCCTCTCGCTATCTTTCGCAAGACTCATTTCTACATGATACGTGAAAAAAGAATAGGATCCATGTATTTACCATCTTTGCTAAGTTAATCTTTGCTGTTTTGCAGGGGAGAGGTACCTATCTTCTTTAACAAATTTAGACACGTAAAAGATAAATGAGCCTTCATGCACTTGGAACAACTGACCTCATGCATTTTTGAGCCAGGAGAAAAAACAGAATGCTGAGACAAAAACGATACTCAAAAAGGGAGAGCATGCAAACTCCAAAGAATCGCTGCTGTTGAATCCTTTGCAGATCGTTGTCGAATCTGTAACCTGCTGAAGCAAAATAAAAGCACTTTGCTCCCAATGTTTTGACTTGCCTGTCACCTTAGTGCGAGCACACATGAATTTCCCCACTGAGGGACAATCAAGGTAATTTCTATTCTACTCTATAAATGTCAATCCATTGATCTATTTCCTGCACTCCCTTTGGGTTGCATCAGGAAGCTTTCCAGCCTTAAGTAGCAAAGTAGTAAGCAAAGGGAAGAATTTTATTTCCAACTTCATTAAAACTACGTTCCTGCTGTAATTTGGTCTGTTACATAATAAAACTCAGAGAGAACCCCATTTAATTTATTTTTTTCCTCTCTTTCATTTTCCCTCCGTCTGATATCCTTTTTTGGTCTTGTTTTCCACCAGCCCTGAGTCTGGGATCATAGTGTGTTGCTCACTTCCCCAAGAAGGGCAAACTACAAAAGACCACTGCAAAAAGACAACAACAAACAAACAACCTAGCAAATCAATTAGTAATTACCATTTAAAACCTTGGTTAATCTTCTCCAGTAATATTCCCATCCAATCTTCTTGGTACTATCTGTTCCATATTTGGTTTTTACGTTTTCTTTAGTAGAACTGGTTCTAAATTACATTCCTGCAATTGAAAGCTAATAGTGATATGTGTGACCATTTGAAATTTTTTTTAATATATATTAAATAAATATTATTTCCAACATATGTTAGAGATCCTAGTTTATTATACACTGAGATAACTAAATCAAACTCATACATTTTGTTTTGTGTTTAGCTTTCAGTTCTCAGGAATATACTGGAAATAATGTAAACTGTTCTAAAATCATAAACATCTGATTGGTCAGCCTGCTCAAAAACGCAGCTGCAGATTAATCACCATTTTAGAGACAAAATATACATTTAAATTTTTTTTTAAAAGATTTAAATAATTAAACATGATTATTTTTGTTATTTACGGTAAATGTAAATCAATTACTTTGATATGTGCATCTCCAAATTTATTCACATTTCTACTTTTTAAAATTGTTAATTGTGGCACTCGTGGAGTTCTGTACCTACACGTGGACACTTACAAGCCAGACCTATGTTTTTCTTCACCAACCGGCCTTCACGAACAAAAATATCCTTGACCATAATTCATTAGCTGGATGTTCCAGTTTTTTTTTATCTCGTCAGGGGCCTTATTGATAAAAAAAATAGAGTGGAAGGAAACAAGCGATAGAAAAAAAAGTGCAAAAGTAACAGAGATTACAGCAATCCAAAAAGTCCAATTGAGAGAGTTTGGGCTGCAGCTGGAGGCACCACACACAGATGCATCCAGAACATGCGCCGTTACATTCCTGGAGTTAAGCCGCGCCTGAACTAAAGACAACATTAAAAGCCGCTTACCTGGGCTAAAGAGAAGGAATGGACTGTTGCTCAGTGGCTCAAAAATCCTCTTTTCAGGTGGAAGTAAATTTTGCATTACGTTTGGAAAAGCCCCAGAGTTTGGAGGAAGAGTGAAGACAGACAGAATCCAAGTTTCTTTCGGTCCAGTGGAAAATTTCCACAGCCAGTGATTTGTCATCCGCTGTTGTTGCTCCACTGTGTTTTATCAAGACTAATGTCAACTCAACCATCTACCAGAGCACTTCATGCTTCCTGCTGCTGACAAGCTTCATGGAGATCCGGATTTCACTTTCCAGCTGGACCTGGGACCGGACCAAACTTCCAAAGGTACCAAAGGCTGCTTGAGTGACCCTGGTGGTTAATCACTCGATTGTCCTGAACCCCAGAGAAAAACTTGGGGAGTATTGTCAACCTATGGGCTGTAAGCCATAATTATTAAAATGAGAAGAACATCTGAATCAGTTCGCTGAGTCTACTGAATCCGCATCTGTAAAATGTCACTTTTTGAACTATATTTCTTGAATAAATTAGCTTCTATAATATATGATTAGCTCATACTTCTGGGTACAATTTTGGTGATGTTTGTAAACTGCATCACTTTTTTTTATCAGCAATATATCTGAATAAAAGGCTACTTTCATGTTCTGTAGCAAGTTTAAAGAGGCAGTATTATGTAAAATCAACTTTTTGAGCTTTACATCATGTTATAGTGTCGCTTTGATTCTTTCATTTATGTTTGAAAAAAAATCCTTTTGTCTCCCATGGCAACCATTCAGCTGGGCAAAACGCCTAGGTGGACCTAGCGCCGCCTTCGAGAAGTGCTTCCTCCTCGCAGAGGACACCCCCACCCCACTATTCCCCTACTCAGCTCCTTCAGACTAGCCAGCAGCAATTAGCAAACACCTGGTTATGACTTCCTGAAGTCATCACAACGGAAAGAGCAGAATACTTTAAAGAGACAGAAGCCCTATTTCAGTGGTTTCCAAACATTTTCTGCGCCCCCCCCCCTATGGATTACAAATGGCTGTCTGGTTGAAATGACGCGTGTGAGAGGGTTGGGGGGGGCATCGACTTTTTTGGGAGCAAAATGAATGTACGTAGCTGAAAATAGACACCAACATCGGTAGCCTACAAGGTACTTGTTAAGCTTAAAGGTCTGTATTGATATTAGCTAGTCATCTTTTAGCTAACATTAGCTAGTCATCTTTTAGCTAACATTACCTGCATCCAACAGCTTTACTCAACTCAGTCGGTTAGTTTGGAGGGAAAAACTGTGAAAAGTTCTTTGCGTTTTGCTGGTTTGCTGCCGTGATTCTAACACAAACCTACGTAGCTCCGCACTGCAGCAGCAGGTCTCCTTCACAGGTGTAAACTCAGCGCGAGCGTTGTAGCACTCATGTTGCATTTAAAGGCGGCTTGGAAAAACAGGTTACAACATGGTAACAACGGATTAAACAGTTTTAACTGCTGATAAAAGTGACAGAGGACACAAATATGGGAAGTGTGGAAGCCTCTACTGTATCAAATTGACATAGGAATAACAGAGAGTTGGCCATTCTAAGGTAAAAACCCAGTGCATACAGTGTTCATGTTTTGTTTTTTATTCATCCAGACGCTCTTCCCGCGCCCCCTTTGACACTTTGGGAGTTTGGGAACCTCTGCCCTATTTCAAGACATTAAATGGCAAAGTTAAATTTCATTTAAGTCATATTTGATATATATGGCATATTCTATCAACTGCGGTTAACATAGTTACTTGATTGTGCTATCAAATGGCACTATGTGCCTGGAAAACAAATAATTCTGCCCCTTTAATGACTTTTCTCTCAAATGATCGGACATCATTAGACCACATTGCGTCTCTGTTGACGATTTGTTTGTTTCCTCTAACCCTTCTGCAGCACGAAAAGAGAGTTGCTTTGCATAAATCAGAAGGAGCATCTTCCACAGAATCGTAAACACGAGAGTTCTGTTTAATAATGAAGCGAGAGAGCACTGAAATAAAAAATAAAAAATCATTTTAGTGCCTTATAAAGGAAACTTTGAAAGATGTCCAGGTGGTCTCAGACTTTGAGTCCAGCAGACAGGAGATGCCTCCTGCTTCTGCAGCCCGGTTGTTCCCTGTGTTATCCTAATAACTCATACTTTCAATGCGTTCCCAATTGGCTCCTGTTTCACAAATGGCCCTGACCACTTCTGTATCAGGTGTCGCGTTGATGTCTGGTTTTAATATTTCTGTAGACCTCACCGCTCAGACCTTTCACACAATTCCCTCACAGCCCTCCACCCTACCTGCACTGGCTCATGCGGAGCAATACGGAAAGTATTCCTCTGGTGGTCTGGAAAAAGGATTTCACTTAATATTTAAAATAATCCATAGAGGACTGGGCCAACGTGTCAAGAGACAGATCTAAAATATCTCCTAATGAGCACAAGATGACGGGCCCTGATGGATTTACGAGGTGCAGAAATGTGTCGGCACAAGGAATAAATAATTTTGATTGGGCTAATTTTCATGCAGTGGTAACACAAGAAGAGGGACTTGGTGTGTTTGAGGAATAACAGCAGAAACAGAAATTCAGACGTTTTAAGTAATGTCTCAGTGAAGACTATATTTGTAAAGAAAGCTGATCTTTTCATCAAGTTGGTTTGGACAGAAACTGGAATAAAGAAGGGAAAGTGAGAGATTCTCCTGGCCAAAGATAAACCAAAGTCAGGCTAAACCAGAATGCAGCATGGTGGACATGCCAGTCCATCACAGGGAAACATAGAGACACCCCGGTCAGACAACGATGTACACCAGGGGTCCCAAAGTTGGCCCTCAAGGGCCGGCATCCTGCATGTTTTAGTTCTCTCCCTGGCAACAATCTTTTCAGCATGTCAATGTTCTCCTTAGGCCTTCTGAGGAGCCATCATTGGATCCAGGTGCGTTAAACCAGGGAGAGAACTGAAACATGCAGGATGCTGGCCCTCGAGGGCCGACTTTGGGCACCGCTGACATACACAAACACTCATGAGGGTGTTTTCACACCTGACAATCCAGTACGCTCAGTTTGATTTATTACATTTTCCGCTGGTGCGGTTCGCCTTCACACTGTACTGTGTGTCAAATGATTCAAACCCTTTGAAAAAGCGGTTTAGCAGACATGAACACAACTTCCTTCTTGACAAAATGTAAACAAAAATGGAGTAGCGTCAGAGTTTAGCATTTGTAGG